GACAGTGTAAACATTGGGTTGTGGTTAGCAGCTTATTAGTTTGCACTGTTTTTGAAGTCTACATTCTTTTTTTTTTTTTTTTTTTGGTCGGTCGTGGGGCCTGAAAGCTGGGCCTGGGCACTGTCCCTCAGCTCTTCAGCTGAAGGCTAGCACTCTACCACTTGAGCGTCAGCCCCACTTCCGGCTTTTTCTGCTTATGTGGTGCTGAGGAATCGAACCCAGAGCCTCATGCATGTAAGGCAAGCGCTCCACCACTGAGCCATCTTCCCAGCCCCTACATTCTTATGATTATGTATTTCTACTGAGGTGGTTTCTTTTGCATAATTTATAGCAAGCTATTTCTACCCTCACAGTGAACTACACAGGTCATTACCTTCGGCAGCCACATGGGAATTTTAGAATAGTTGTATCATCTGGACTTTAAGAAATTACTTCCAGTAGTAGTCTAGTTCTAGATTTCAGCATTTGATCATTGCTAAGAAGATGTCCTTGGCTTACTTTGGTCTTTTGGAGATAAAACTCAGTCAAGACCAGATCTGAGATCTCACCTTCCAGGTCTCTGGCATCAACTACTAGTCCACTGACCGCTTCTCCCTGGGGTTTGGTGTGTGCTCCAGCCACGTGGAGCTGTGCCTATGACCTTGCTCCTGTTTTTCTCTTGTCAGGCTGCATTCCTAGTACAGTACCTGTGGCCCATGCCAATGTCTTCTTGGAATCCATGTGGCGTTCTGCTTTACCTGATGGAAGCCATATCTTTTAACCGATAAAACCTTGGGAAGGCAGAGCAAATCTCTCCTTTACCTTGAACCAAGGTTATTCCCTCTCTCCTCAGATGGTGTGAACTCTGTGAAAAAGCCCTCACTCTGCTCACTCGGTGATGTCCAGGTCTGCTGCCTGTCAGGAGGACCAGCCTGTGTGACGGGAGCTGGGAGCACATGCCAGGCGGGACTTCTCTGTGCAGTCCTCTAGATTTGGCCTTACCTCCATGGTGCGGGTGTATGCGTGGGGGGAATACAGTGAGGAGACGCACCCGGGGCCTCTGGCAGTTATCTCTACTTGGGCTGGCAGGTTTGAGCTGCCCTTGGTCACAGGCAGATTCCTGTCTTGGGGGGAATCTTGGTCTTCTCTGCAGCACCAGCTACTTCAAGACCTTCCTTGAAGAGGAGCCAACTGTATTGTCTCCGCTGTCAGCTTTCCGAGGGGCCTGATTCCTAGACAGCAGCGGGTGAGATGGACACACACACAGAGCCAGTTGGTCAGACCCTGGTTGTGTTCTTTCTTCGTCTTAGGGTGGGGGTAGGATGATGGCAGTACTGCTAGTCCGTGTTGTTGGTGTTCCTGTAGTATTTTGGTTTTCATACATGATTGCAGTGCCCTACCTTTGCTTCTTGAGTTGCTCTTGATGGTGCCTCTATTTCTCTTATCCTCTTGGGGTTTTCCCTGTTCTTAGCTTAAAAAAAAAAACAAAACACAAAAAACTTTTGCTAAAAACAAAGACATGACCATTTCATTAGCCTGGGCCTACAGGGTCACGGTTACTCATGTCGCTACCATCTTGCCCTCAGGGCCAGTAACACATGTGGAGTTGTCTCCCTGCCCAGGGGAAGGCTTCATCCATGTGCCTGCCAGGACGGCTTTACAGTGCACTTCATTCTCCAGGTAGAAAAAAGGCAGTCTAAATCATAAAACGTACAGGGTAATGAATATAGGAACGGATGATATAGTCCTTTGTTGTCATTATGAAGAACTGTGCACTTTATGCTAGTGTATGTGTCTTTTCTTGTATGACTGGTAAGCAGTGGGTTTGTTACACAGCACCAAACACACATCTACTCACACACCCACGGCCCTGTGCGAGGACATAACACACATCTACTCACACACCCACGGCCCTGTGCTAGGACATAACATACATAATACACATCTACTCACACACCCACGGCCTTGTGCGGGGACATAACACACATAACACACATCTACTCACACACCCACGGCCCTGTGCTAGGACATAACACACATAGCACACACATACTCACACACCCACGGCCCTGTGCTAGGACATAACACACATAACACACACATACTCACACACCCACGGCCCTGTGCTAGGACATAACACACATAACACACATCTACTCACACACCCACGGCCTTGTGCGAGGACATAACACACATAACACACATCTACTCACACACCCACGG